GAACGGTCTAGCGTCAAAAACATGGAAAAGCCAAAATACACATTTTTACGGGCGATGAAATAGACATATTTGAAATAAGAGCTATTAAATAAATTTGTCAACCGTCTAAATGAATAAATATAACATTATATTTGTTATCAATGTAAACAATCAGTAATATTGTTGTAATGAACACTGTATGAAAGTGTGTTTCGGCTATGTTACTGCCTAGCGTCAAAAACGTAGAAAGCCGAAAAACACGTTTTACTTTCGATAAAATAGATATATTTAAAAAAAGTGCTGCTCAAAAATTTTTCAACCGTTAAAATGAATAACTATTATAACAATTTTATTACCTTTGATAAATGTGAGTTATATTTTTGTAATAAATAGAGTATGCAAAAACTTGTGTTTTTTCGGCTATGTACACATGTTACAGTCAGCGTAGCCTGGGTTACAGTCTGTCGATTTTTTATGTGCTTCTGTTAAGCGAATCGACACTATCAAAACCAGAGATGTTGTGTTATCTATGACGATTTAGTATGAAATAGCGCGTATGATATGAATAAGCAAAAAATATCAACGCCAGAATCCAAGGCTACAGTCAGCGTAAAAAACATGGAAAAGCCGAAAACCACATTGGACGCGCGATTAGAAAGGTATATGAATAAAAATACCCATACAATTAGACTTTTCAATCGTTTAAATAATTAACTTTACTTTTTATTTGTTTACAGTAAAATTATTTCAGTGGTGAAACTTATAGGCTGGCTCACAATTGTTGAATGTCGGTCACCCATCTTATGTCAACTGTGGTCTGTCCACATTCAGCATCGTCGAATACCAACGGCCAAACCATTTACATTTATCAATTATGTCATGTTACATGTTAATCAACCATGTGTATTGGACGATGACATTTAGTTGTTGACACTCTCCTTGTCATTTAGTTTGTTAACACTCTACTGGTCACACGTTTGCCCAATTGTCTCAAAACTTGGTAAGAATGTGTGTGACAGGTTTTGCTCCGAGTTTGAACATGGATCACCTTGGTTGAAAATCAGAAGTAGGTCACAGTAGCCAAAAATTGAAAAATGTTTAAGCTCAATATTGTAAATGGTTCATCTAAAGTTAAGAAGTTGATAACACAGCCTGATAATGGAAAAAACATTGTTAACTTGCTGTCTAATATAAATGAATTTCTTGACAAGGTTGTATATGTATACTAGGCTTTTCCCAGGAATTTTGCAAGGCACAGTTTTCGCGAAAATGGGGTTGAGTGTTGGAGGGGGTAGGACCCCGTCATACGTTTGAAAATTTTTGCTATTTTTATGTTTGCTACACCAAAATCTACTGTATTAATTAAAAAGAGTCTTTATAAACAAAACAGATACAAAATAAATGTAACATTTTAACAATTTATTACGCTTTAATCATAAAATTAGACTATAATTATGTAACAATGAAAATATTTATGAAAATATTACAGTACATGAATTGATTTGATTATAGATTTCATTTTTATCAATAAACGATAGAGTAATTCATTTGAAAATTAATGTGTAGAGATGAAAGCAACACACCAGAATATATATTAATGCATCAAAGTACTGATCTGTAACATAGAAAGCTACACAAAAGGATGTACTATAATTTGGTTATTAAGTCCTGTAGGATGATTCAATTAATTGACTTTGTATAGAGTCTAAAATAACAAGATCAACAAGGCAAAGGCAACGTTCACAGGAATTTGCATTAAAGTATTAATTTGATACGGTATTTTTGCATTTATCGTATAAAGAATACGGTTTCTTAATGTTTTACGCACTTTCAAATAGTGGGGAAGTAAGAATTTCTAATTGGTTGAGTTGCCTCTGCTATCAATAGCAACATGGCTATTCCACTTTTGCTAGGAATAATCGATGAGGTTTTTTCCGAAGTTAAAGGAGCAGCAGAGTTTTGGTACACGGTCGGTTCACTCTATCATATCATAGTGCTTTATTGGTGATGCTGTGTTATATATTACATAAATGATATTTTCCCATTTTTCCTTTAGCCGATTTATTCACCCTCGATGTTAAATTTTTGTTAAAGGAAAGCCGAATAACTTGTTCTAATAATTTCATTCAATAATTTTAACTTAATACGCAAAAATGGATGCCACATCAACCATTCTCATCACTGTTGAGAGGTCAGATTACATCTCTTATAAATTAAAAAACGAGCAATAACGTTTTATACTGGCGTGTTTTTATCCGTTTATTCATATTTTGTTCTCTATAAAATAGGCTTATCAAGTACATGTATTTTGTTCGGTTCTTTTGTTTTTAGCATTCTTTGACCTTTCCATATGATTTGCACGATATAAAATTATTAAAAAAATGAGAACGAACAATATTAATATTAATATGACAATAAACAGGATCAAAATGATTATAACAAGCATTGAATTATTCTTCAACCACTCGAAACACGAACCGAAACTTAGTTCATCTTTTTCATAATCAAAAATTGTTTCATTTCTTCCTGTTAATGTATGGGTTCCTCCAAATGTATCGACTGTAGTGAAATTAATGTAATTATTGAATATGGATGCTGCGTTTTGCATCTGACTTTCATATTGGTATGCATTTGGTTGACAAATATCAGTATCACTAAATGTGTAGTTTATGCTGCCATGAATACTATTATCGACTATAGTCGCTGTATTATTTAGCTCACATTCAAATCTGCTTGAATAATTTATTGTATTCTGATCATCGGTCATATTCTTGGAATGGTGTGCAAGCTTAAGCATACTGTCCTTATCCTTGTGTTTCACACTTATAGATGTGCTTGTCAAATTATTACCAGCGATATTTGAATCGTAATCATCGAATACAACTTGGACCATTCTCTTTGAACGATACTGTTGTACAGTTGTTAAGAAATATCCGCTTGTTAAACTGTCAGCCTGAAAGGTTACACATAATTATGATACAAATCTCTATAATTTCAATTGTATATTTGATGGTAACTAAAGTGCCCGTGGTATTAATGCCACCGTTTTTACTAGTTTCACTAGTTTACGCCATTTTACAGAGGTAACAAGAAGATTTTGGCAAAGCCATTGCCAAGCCATTTACAAGTATCAAGAAAATTGTTTACATGTACTTATTTGAAATACCCTTGGCATTGTTGTCCAAATTGCTGCTTCTAAAGGTCGTTTGTTCACATCAAATTATAATAAAATATTTGAAAAAAAACACACACTTATATAAAGCTCGTCATTCGAGAGGATAGTATTGTATTTTCTGCATGACCACTTTTCCGCACACAAAGGTACTGAAGTGCCCCAGTGCCAATTTAACATGTTCTATAAGAAAAATAACTCCTACGTAGGACATGTAGGAGATAAAAAGCCTTATTAGGTCTTTAAAACTCCTACGTAGGATACATATAAAGTGCTGAAAGCACAGAGTGCACCGGACATGTATGTTAGAGCATAATTAAGGATAGCATATTATGTAGGAAAATAAATCATATGTGTCAAATTGTTATTGTGGTAAGCTGCTTTAGTAAATATCCTTATTCTGTAGCCAGAGATGATTTTGAGCAAAATAACCACATCTTAATAATATATTGTTGAGCAATAAAACTAGTTCCGAAAATCGAACGCGCTAAAGATGTCATTTTCTATATATTAAAGTTATATTGATTATACAAAAAATGTATGGATTAACTTTGTTCAAACTAAAATGTAATTTATTTTTAAACTTATGCATGCATGCTTTGTAAATTGTATTTTCCGGAGCTTGAACAAGACACTTCACTCCCCTGCCCCCTACAAGGATGTAACCATTCGAAAAGGCCAAATTGGATAACTTGCTCGTTTTGTTCAGCTTGTTCGCATGGAAAATTAAATCTTTATGGCTTTTTAAAATTTTTGATATATTCATATTTTAGACACTTAAATGCTTGCTGTCGAGTAGAATTTTCAAAATGCTGTGAAGCAATTTTTGGGATATATCGCAAATGATTACAGACACTTCGTCCCAAGACACTTCACACTTCAGAAATTAGGATTTGAAACTTCTGGGGAAGTGGGGGGGGGAGGTTTTAAATATTTTGTTCTTCCGCAGATAAACTGGTCCGAAATAATGAGATCTACGAAGCATTCTGTATGCTATAAAATCCTAGGTAGCAGCCTACGTAGTGGTAATAAACTTAAATTAGGTAATTTTATCTCTTACATAGGAGTCAAAAAGTCCTACGTAGGAGTTTTAAACTCCGAATTAGGTTTTTTTTTATCTCCTACGGGGAAGTGATAAAGTCCCACGTAGGAGTTATAAACTCCTATACAGGAGTAATAAAGTCCTATATAGGAGTTATAACTCCTAATTAGACTTTTTTATCTCCTACGTAGGAGTTGTAAAGTCCTACGTAGGAGTAAAACGCTCCTAATTAGGAATATTTTTTTATCTCCTACGTTGGAGTTGTAAAGTCCTTAGTAGGAGTTAGGAACTCCTAATTAGTTTTTTTTATTTCCTTCGTAGGAGTTATCTCTTTTATAGAACATGTTAAATTGGCACCATGACTCTTTAGTACAAAGTAGCTAATGTAGTAGAAATGGACTTGTGTCTGTCATTTTCAAGTTATTGAAAGGTATGGAAGACTATGCTGAAGCATTAATTGTCGAAAACCTTAAAAGGACATTTTTCCGAAGGGTTGACTTAGACAATTGCAGATATTTGTAAAATTATTGCAAATATTGTATTACATACTTAAATACTTAATACTTAAATACTCTCGCATTTTTTTTTTTTGTCAGCAATATGTGTGTTTCTCTGTGCATGCGTCTTTATGTCGCTTTAAGTGATTTGTTCAAGGTTTTTAATTCATTTGCCATTATAGTCGAATAATCTTAAAAGTTATTGATCACGTACCTGTCTACTAAATGCGATGTCATACCTCATTTTTGTACAAAAATGTTGACAATTTTTGTACAAGATATCGTAATCGCCTTCACCGTACATAGCCTTTGCTCGGAGCATCGGTTGTTCTTTTGAAGGACTAAAATATTTTTATATAACATTATTAACTAATAAAAAGAAACACCCGGTTATGTTAATGAACCAATTTAGATTTGATACATCTGTTTGAAGTTGTTGTTGTTTTTGTGACACATCGGAGGGAAATGTTAGCCAATTCTATAAAAAGATATAATCGTAAAAAACAAATATTACGTGATTTTGTTTCAAAAAATAAAGAAACAAATAAGCTTAACCACATTTACCTGATAGTATCGTCTAACATATTATTTCTATATACTTTTGAACCACGTGCAACGTCTTGAAGAGAATCAATTCGATATCCTATGTCATTGTTCCATTTCGCATGGAAAACTTGAACACTATCTACCCAAGGAGCCGTTCCTTTATGAATAATCATGTTATTTCCTAAAAAACAGGAATTTTTGTAAATAGTACTTTTTCATTGTCTCCAACCAAATACAAAATGTTTGTTTACAGCTGAAACATTTTTCCTTCAAATAGCAAGACAAATTGTTGATACTAGCTTAGAGGCGCCTCTTATTTACTTAGTCGGCGTACTCATTCAATTTATTTTTTCTATAATTTTTACTTAAAGTATTAATTTATTTTTTAATAAAATAATACCTGCATAATTTCCACAATGAAAATATGTAAATGGTCCTAATTGCCTTTCAAATTCTAGAATATCTCCAACCTCAAGATCTGACACATGTATAGATGTATCTATTTCAAGGGTATAGTCATCTTCAGTAGACATTTCTGTGTTTGAAATCTAATGAAACTATTAAAATACAAAAGAAAATTTTGGAAGACAAAAAACAGCCATCATTGAATAGGAACACAATACATTTGAATAATATGTATATACGGTAAGATATTTGAAATTTCTAAAAATACTTAAATTCATTCAAATAATTACATCATGGCCTATTTATACTCACTATAAACTTTTATGCATGACATAAGTACGGAATTGTTTATTCATAGCGGTACAAGTGGTTTATCAAACGTAAAAGCGGAAAAGTTCAATCAATAAATCTTTTTTTTTTCAATTAGCTCATTCAACCATTCAACTATTCAGTCGTAATACTTCCTCAAATCGTTTCTTGGTTTACCAGTAACCATGATAATAGTATGGTAAACTGAATTAAAACCGTCCTTTAGATATCACAAGAAATAAACAATGTTAAAGAATTGATATTAATTGAAAAAATAGAAACACTTCATTCATTGTACATATAATGGGCAGACTACCATGAATATTTTCAAATCAACTTTTTTAAATGAATAATCCAAGACATATAAAAAGCCCTCGCTTTTTTAATTGTTTATGCATTGATTGGATGTAAAATGTTATGTAAGTATAAAGGCAAATTATTGTTCTTTTGTATGAAAATAGACAGATCTTAATATGTTTTTAGGAAGGAAGGAGCGAACGAACGAACGAACGAAAGAACGAACGAACGAACGAAGGAATTAACGAACGAATGAATGAACGAAGGAAGAAATGAACGAACGAACGAACGAACGAACGAGGCGTGAATGAATAAAGGAATGAAGGAAATGCACGTACGCACGAACAATGAATAAATATAATGTTACTGATTAATAATATTAAATCCAATGAAACCATTTTTTAAGAAAAGAAACATAGTATTAACTGATTCAATTATGTAAGAATCAGAGGATGCTTATCAGCATATCTTGGTAAAACATTAAAAGAATGAATAACCCTTAACTTATCTTCCCATGTCATTTCATTCTTTAATATAAATCATACGTCACGTTAGAATGCTTTAGAAAATAAAATCGTGTTTAATAAAAGCATTAATACGAAATCGAATAAATGAAGATAGTATATTTACCTTTGTATCAGATAGATCTATATCTTTTCTTTATCTATCTTTATCAGAAAATCAGTTTAAAGTATATATATTTTATTGCGTCGTTGTTGTTGACAGTTTAATTGTAAACTAACCAAATTTACGTGACTCATAATGCAGCAGACTTTGTATGATTTGTTGGGATTATTGCGCGAGTATATATAGCATATGTAAATTTAAACCCACATCATCCGTTTATTAAGGTTTATCTGGATAAGCAATCGTTAATATGTTAACTTAGTTTGGGTTATTTTCAATTCGTACTCAGAATGAAAAGGAAAGTGGGATATCAATTTTTTGTTTACATTATTTTTTTGATCTCCTTAACTCGACCTGGCGACACCTACAGCAAACAAACTAAAAATAGCAGATTTAAAATCCCAGAATGATGTCAGACAAGAAAATGATTTAAAAAGTTTTATTGATTTTAAGAAGATAACAGCACAAGTTAAACATGTTCTTAAATTATGTTTGAATTTTAGATAAAAAAACTAACATGAACTAACCTTGTGTTCAGATTTGGAATTAGATGCTGAAATAGTACCAATAAATACATGAGTATTATAGCGATTAAATGATTATGTTTTTAAAAATAAGTTAGATGCTTGTAACCTAAAGATGGTAGCAGTAATTGTGAAATTATTTGTTATAAAGACAAAGCAGTATTTTGACATCCATACAAAAACGCCTTAAGTTTCCTTTTGGCAATAAAAAGTTAAAGAAGAAAATGATAGCTCGGATAATTAACATTAAGCCAGGAAAGGGATCGCTCCACCCATTGATTCACGGGACCCGGTCAGTAATAACCTTAGACAAAATACGGTACCGATATATTCGCAAAACTGTTTTACCAATAATGTTTCCAATGAATTTACCTTATATAAAGATTGTATAAATAAAATTTTGATGCTTTTAATATTTCATAGAAAAATATATGATTATGTTATGATCGTTTTATTTTGATATTGAAGTAGCGAAACAAAAACAGTAAAGTTATATCCGTGACACAAATACATTTAAAATCATTTTTTCGGGTTTTATGTGTGAAATTCAGTTTAGATAATACATTAATTTGTTGATGAATTGTTAAAATTGATTCAATAGATTGCATGCCCTTGCTTACTTTTTATGATATGTGATTTTGTATTGTCAACATATTTTTGATATGATTCACGACAAAAATAAAGCGTTATTCTCTTTAAAATAAGCTTCTAATACATCAGACATGATGTTATTGGTATAAGTTTCGTATTAAGCAGATCAAATTTAATTTTTTGAACTTGAATAGAAATATTCAGGAAAGATAAATTCACCCACTTTTTGGTTGTATTTACTCATTATTTTTTGCATGTTTACGGCTGCGTTTTTTACTGACGCTATATCTACACGTAATGTACGAAAAAATGTCATTTCTTCTGGATATTATATTTATATGTAATGCGATTATTAATAGATAGAATGGAAATAAAAAAGTGGATTTGTTTAAACCTTTTCATTGTTCAATGCATTGCATTATAGCCAGGATAAAGGTATCGTACTTATTATTTCCATATGCAGGAAATTATTGACTATTTGTATACGTCAGTGTCTTAACTATGTGCACCAAAAATCAACCAGTCTACCATCTTTAAAAATAAATGAATAAAAACAACTCATAAATGCATTTGCCGGACGAGCAGGTATTGTTTGACCACGTAGCTATAGTTAACATAACATGACAGAAGTAGGTTATAGTATAATAACATTGCACAATCCATAAAAGAAAAATATATATTTAACTAATTGTAATAGTCAAATATAAAATTTCTAATGCAGTATACGCTGTAACAATCGATTGCCAAAATCCATGAGGTCTCTTGTAAATCCAGAAATCCAGTCAATATATAAATATATAATATGCATAATACCATACGTCTTACGACTAACTATCATTGTTTTGTAAAATACAAATGTAAATATATGTCTATCGCTCGGTCGTGCTGAGCGAGAACAAGCCGGTCAGGAAAAATACAGAGATCTCTTTAGAATACTCTGAAAACCTGTGTACGTTACAATAAAATTCAAGATCGCTTAATGACGTACCTCATATGATTCAGCCTGGACATACGATATTATACACAGAAAATGACCAAATTTTAAACTAACAGAATATTGAATAGTGAAAATTCCCAGTGAAATGTTAAAGGAACTCCACTGACGTTTTTTGACACGATAGGTCTGAAAATATTTTTCCATGATAATGTACCACTTGATGAAGGTTAACACCACTAATCTTTCGCCAAATTTCAGATCTTCCGCGCACTTTGTTTTTCCAGAATAATTATTCAAATTGTAAAACAATGAGCCAAAATGAAAAGCGTTTAAACGCTCTTCACTAAAATTGGGAAAAGAAAAGCATTAAAAAACAATTTTCAATTTATTTCAAAGTATTTTTTATAAGTATCTTTGCATATATTACTGTTTAAAGTGCCCCAGCTCATTTATGTAAGAAATTCAAATGTAATGTGTTTAGGCCTTTGAACATCAGTGGAGTCACTTTAAAGAAAAACTTAAACGAAAATTTAGTTTTGTACGTCTTGACTAAATGAGGGTGTCCGGTGAATTGATTCGCCTTTCGATAAACATCCCAAAAATAAAATACACCCACGATTTTCCCGTGCAATACGCTAAAATATACTTCTAACAAAAAAACGCAACGTAAAGACAATATTTTCGCGCTTTACTAGCGAAACGCGCGAAAATTTCAGTCTTAACTATACTTATTGTAACGTGCACCAAAAAACAGGCAGTCTGCCATCTTTAGAAATAAACAAATAAAAACAACTCATAAATGCGTTCGCCGGACGAGCATGCAGACAATAAAAAGTTAGGGCTTGAGCATAGCCGATATTGTATAGTAGTATATTAATTACAAACTCAATTTATGAGACACTACAAGTCTTCTTGACAAAGAATCTGCAACATAACGGTTATTACTAATGTCGGACTTCCACCGACTATGACGTGCCCAACATCTATCATTAACTCCGGAACTGGCAGTTGTGGTTGCCTCACCAAACCGTAGTGAATGTAGACCTATGTTCAATTCACCCGTAAATGGACGCAATCTACCTATAATACATTCCTTAGCCATTGAGTGACTTAACGGTTTGTCTTTGTAAATTAACAAGTAGAATTTGATCTAAAACATGGCCTGAATAAGTAATTGCTATCAAATATAGTCTGACTCGACAAAGTTAAATAACGCCTTAACACTTTATAAGGACAAGCAACAGACATTCCTTTACTTATAACTATTTCATTTCCTAATCCGTATTGGACGGTCTTACTTTTCCTAATTTTTAGACAAAAATGGTCATCATGAAAAACAATATCGTTACACCTGAGTGAACTCAATTCATCATATCTCAAAAAGCCCGCGAAACCTAATAAAATCATAGACAAATCTCTGACAACTAAAATGTCTGAAGATTCTGAATATTCAGAACAAACGTTTATCAATGTCTGTGTAGACAGAGGCTTTTTTAGAGATTTGTTCAATAGGATCCGGAAGTCCTTTTAAACCATGCGCACATTTAAATCTATACACAATTGCTGAAATAGCATGATCAGAAAAACGTTTTTGTAGTAGATACGTAATGTATAATGCGACGTGAATAGGAGACGCTGGTAAAGAATTGCCTCCCTTCTAAAAAAAGAACTTATCCCACTTCTTGAAATATGAAATATTCTTGTCAAAACACCTGGCTGAAATTGAAACAAATCTTTAATGTAAAACGCTTGATTTTCTGGAAAGATAAAAGGCCAAAATCATGCCAATCTCGAAATTGGCACTGCCAGGGTACAAACGCACTTGTCTCCTATTGCTTTTTAATACATTAACTTACAAGCCTAGGGGGTGACACGAGCCGCCAATTTATATGTCCTGACCAAACTTGCCTGAAAGCATCCACTCCGTTAGTACATGGACACCAAAATCTAGAATTGAAATTTTGACATTTTGTGTTGTAACTATAGGCAAAGCGATCAATACTATGCTTACCCCACATATTTCCGAGTTTACGGAAAACCGAGTCTTGTACAGACCACTCATCACTATCGTAACATTTGATCAAATAATCTGAGTCAACATTTCCTGATCTAGGCACCCACAATGCTTCTATTTTCATACTATTCTGCCTACATATATCATCAACATTTAAAGCAATTTTCTGAAGATATGGCTTATTAAAATAATCGACACATTTCTATTGTAGGATTTCCACGTAACCTGTTGCCCTTCCAGTCATTCTATTTTACTCAGAATAACCCTATGTACAGCCTCGAGTTCCCTCCAAGTAGAACTAAGACAAGTCTCATTTTCAGACCAACTTCCTATGACGTCACTTCCAGCCGCACCCTCAACGTAACCTCCGTAACCAAGACCACTGCCATCGCTAAATACAGTACAAATATTACTGCTACCACAGTCACTAAAATCTACACTGTCACAACTGACATTTTCAATAAGACAGTAATTCAAATCTGTTATGTTTTCCTTCCAGAAAATCATTTCAGATAATGCTTCTAAAGTCACAATGACCGGAGCATCCAAGCTTGCTCTTTGATTAATGCATGCATACATAGCATGTGACCGTAGGCTTACAACTGAACATATCACACATTTCATCGACATCAACAGATTACTGTCCGACCAAACAAGCTAATTTTCTTACCTTAATCAGCGTTCTGCCCGATTATCCAAACTACTAACCTTTCAAAACGAAGTATGCGTTCTTCTGTTACAGATAACACACCTGATATGGTATTCTACACGTATCCCAACCAACAATGACTTGTGTTGGATACCAAATAGAACAAGCAATTATCATAGTATTGCAAGCAATCTATAAGTCCCCTACCGGATAGAACCCCATCAGCATTCTGAAGGGTCATTGGCCATTCACTAATGTGTAAATTTTTCTCTATTTTAAGTAAATTTGTTGGAAATGTTCTTTAAAAGTGATCACAGGAAAAAGTTTTTATGAACAGACAGACAGACGGACTGAAGGACACTCTAAAGTTAATATTTGAAACATCCCCGTTACCAAAATATAACATTTTAAAAAGCAAAATTCT